CCAAGCTTTTTTTTTTTTTTTAATCTTTTTATCATAAAATAAAACGCAGAGGGGCACCTGGATGGCTCAGTCCATTAAGTGTCTGATTCTTGATCTCTGCTCAGGTCATTATCTCACAGTTCATGAGATCAAGACCCGCATTGGGCTCAGAGATGAGTGTGGAGCCTGCTTGAGATTCTCTAACTCCCTCTCTCTCTGCCCCTACTCCCTCAAAATAAATACACTTAATAAAATAAAATGCAACACAACTCAACACACAAACAGAAGACACTATAAAGGAAATGTTTACCTTAAGAAATTATTCTAAGGCGAACACCTTTGTAACCATCCCCAGGTGAGGAAAACAGAACTTTGCTAACTACCCTTAGAAGCTCCTTCCAAGTGTCCCTTCTCAATCATTTGCCACCACTGGCACCTTGGAAGTAACCATTACCCTAACTTTTATAACATCACTTTCACTTCCTTTTTTCCTTACTGATTTTTCCACCCAAATGTTCACTCCTAGACAGTATAGTCTCTTCCCTAACACACAGAACACACTTAACATTTTTTCTGATATATCTTTTTAAGTCCTTTTTTTTTTTTAACTTCATAATCTTGAAGAACGCAGGCCCTTTGACTTGTAGAGTTTCCCACAGTGAGGACTTTGCATATTGCCTGATCGCGATACAGTTTAACATTTTCCGGAGTTTTCTACAAACTGGCAGCTGGATCTCAAGTCTGTATCAGATTCAGGTCTGATCACTTTAGCAGTATGTTGCGTGGCCATGTGGTTTTCCCTCAGGAGGTACATAAGGTCTAGCTCTCTCTCTTTTTATGATCTTAGCTGTTGAGACCTAATGCCTGTATTAATTTATAGGGAGTTACAAAACTGGGATATTCTATCATTTCTCTTTTACTTAATAGTGGAATACTTTTATCTAGATTCTCTTCCCCTTATCTCTTACTTGGTTACCCAAATAACTAAACTTAACTTTTTTTTTTTAATTTTTTTTTTTAATGTTTTATTTTTATTTCTAGGAGGGAGAGAGAGAGACAGACAGCGTGAGCAGGGGAGGGTCAGAGAGAGAGGGAGTCACAGACTGAAACAGGCTCCAGGCTCTGAGCTGGCAGTCAGCACAGAGCCCGACGCGGGGCTCGAACCCACGAACCGCGAGATCATGACCTAAGCGAAAGTCGGACGCTTAACCGACTAAGCCACCCAGGCGCCCCTAAACTTAACTTTTTAAAGTTGAAAGCCTGGTATCATCAGCTACAAAACTCTCTCCGGATCCTCCCTTTGAGTTGTGGCCACAGGTTTTGTTGAATTTGCAGACGAGACATCATAAGTGAGAGTAAAAGGCTTACTGAAGTTGTACGTAAAGCAGACATATACAAATAAAGATCCAGTAGCAAATTCCAGCCACTAGAAACTTAAAATTCATGATTCTCTAGTTGATTGTTTTCAAGGTCAAGTCTTTGTTTCCTTTGTGACTTCCATGAAGGGATTGTTAACAAAGGTGAACTGATAGAAGTGAAGGAAAAAGGATTCTTGTGAATCTAGTTTGGGTTAACTTGCAGAGTTACAGCCCTTCTCCAGAAAGTCAGAAATTAAATAGTTATTTACATCTATATTTGAGCACAAGTTTGGACTTCCAAATGAAAGTGATCATTTTTTCAAAAAGTCTCCTTTTTTTTGGTATGTCTGCAGTGATCTAGAAATCATACAACCTAAATCATTTAGTTAAAAAAAATGCAAATATAACTGAGACTTCAAAATCTCAGGATTTTTTGAATTGTTTTTCCATTTACTACATGTGATATAATATGTAAAAAGGATAATTCATTTTTTTATACAATAACTGATAACAGTTATTGCTTTAAAAATATTTTCATTCAGAGATAGAATCAACCTTAAATTGTTTGGTGTTAACAGCTGAACGTATTTAAGGTGCCTCCTAGAAGCACTGAGGAACTCACCTGGAAGCAATTAGATGGAACTGACATGTTCCGTGGATGTTGAGCAAGAATTTGGTGGGCAAATGATCTAGGCTCTCAGCCCACCAGCACCACTTCTGGTTTAATGACTTCAGATCCTTTATTTATGTCTTGTTTTCCTCATTCATAATTTGCATAGTAAAATCCATCTCCCGGAGTTGTTTAGAATTTTAAGCAATGTAAAATATTGGAAAAGGTGCTTTGTAATATTTACTGGTAGGAGATCTCATATTTAAGGAGGCTCATCACAGTTCATCAGATAAACTTCATCATTTAAAGTAGCCATTATGGCAATGGAAAATTCCAGGTCTGCCAACTTGACATTAGAAAGTTTCAGCTTCAGATACAAATGCATCTGAGAGATTCATGTTTGGAGATGCACTCACTTATAAATAAATGATAAAAAACAGCATACACCAGTGCTTTCTGTGAATATACATTTCTCATTTTTCATCTCATTTTATCTACCCCAAAAAAGTGCTAGATCTGATATTCTATTCATTAGGTGAAATTAGAAGCAAAAAGAGAACAACTTAGTCTTAACGATTAATTAAAAGACATAGTCATTAGCCTGATTGTCTGATCTTTGTGCCAGATTTTTGTATATTACAAGTCTGCAGAGAAAATTTTCCAGAAAGGAAGAATTTGTTTCAGGAACTATCCTGCAGGAATATCAAAAAGGTTTTCTTTCTTTTCTGACTCAGGCATAACATTGTACTTTATAGAAATGGGGAAAAGGGCTGCATGGCAAAGGAAACAACCCACAAAACTAATAGGCAACCAACGGACTGGGAAAAGATAGTTGCAAATGACATATCAGATAAAGGGTTAATATCCAAAATCTATAAGGAACTCCCCAAACTCCACACCCGAAAAACAAACAACCCAGTGAAGAAATGGGCAGAAGATATGAACAGAAACTTCTCTAAAGAGGACATCCAGATGGCCAACAAACACATGAAGCGACGAGCAGCATCCCTCCTCATCAGGGAAATACAAATCAAAACCACACTGAGATACCACCTCACGCCAGTCAGAGTGGCTAAAGTGAGCAAATCAGAGATTTCTAGATGCTGGCGAGGATGTGGAGAAACGGGCACCCTCCCACACTGTTGGTGGGAATGTAAATTGGAACAGCCCCTCTGGAAAACAGTGTGGATGTTCCTCAGGAAACTAACAATAGAACTCCCCTATGACCCAGCAATAGCACTGCTAGGAATTTACCCAAGGGATACAGGAGTGCTGATGCATAGGGGCACGTGTACCCCAATGTTCACAGCAGCTCTCTCCACAATAGCTAAAACATGGAAAGAGCCTAAGTGTCCATCAACAGACGAATGGATCAAGAAGATGTGGTTTATCTATACAATGGAATACTATGTGGCAATGAGAAAGAAGGAAATCTGGCCATGTGTAGCAACATGGATGGACCTTGAGGGTGTTATGCTGAGCGAAATAAGTCAGGCAGAGAAGGACAAATATATGTTTGCATGTATAGGAGGATTAGGAGGAACTTAACGGAGGACCATGGGGGAGAAGAAGGGGAGAAATGGTGGGGGAAAGGGAGAGAGGCAAACTATGAGAGACTCCTGAATGCTGAGAACAAACTGAGGACTCATGGGTGTGGGGGAGGAGGGGGGAGATGGGCATGGAGGGGGGCACTTGTGGGGATGAGCACTGGGTGTTATATGGAAACCAACTTGACAATAAACTATTTAAAAAAAAAAAAAGAAATGGGGAAAAAGGCATTAATTTGAACAATCCTTTATGTTTCTTTATTGTAAAGTTTGGATCCAAAGAATGTCTAAGGCCTCTAAGATCAAATTATAATGAAAAATAAATAGCCTCAGTTTTCAAAATTAAAGTTATTGACCCTGACAATACAATTTTGCTATGCAAGTATCCAGCAACCATTTGCGACCTGCTGGAATGAGAATCAAAACAGTTTCCTCATACTCCTTCCACTTCAATTCTAATCATAATCTCTAGCCCCAAATTAGTTTTCAGAGACTTTTGTAACAAAAAAAAAGTTGACTCAGAATTTAAGTAATCATGCTAATAACATATACAGTTTTTGACAACTTTAAAATACAACCGTTTGCATAATCAATATAACTTTATAACTTTTAAAAGTGCAAAAGCCAATAGAAATGAGGATAATAGGGGCACCTGGGTGGGTCAGTAAATTGAGAAGCGGACTATTGGTTTCTGCTGGGGTCGTGATCCCAAGGTGGTGGGGCTCAGCAGTGAACACGAAGCCCACTTGGGATTCTCTCTTCTCCTCTGGACTCCTCCCCTGCTTACTCTCTCTTAAAATGAATGGATGAATGAATGAAGTCAAGACAAAACAATAAGGACTGATGCCATTTCTTTCCTTATGTTTTCAGCACTCGCTTTATAGGACATGGACCATACATTAATGTATTTCGAGCGTTGCAATATTTTACTGGTGGCACAACCAGTTTCCAACCACTTGCTTCGGTGGATTTAAAATTTGTAATTCAGATTTGTTTGCTATATATAGCATGTGGTTTCATTAATTCAGAGTTTGATAGAAGTGTGGCTTCCCCCCACGCCCCCCCCGCCCCGTTTTGGCCAGAACGCATATCCAGGATTAGGGATTTTTTAAGCAAAACGTGTTTAAGGACCTCCGTGATTCTTAACTACGTCCCCTCTTCCCCCCAAATGCTTGGGATCGGGGCCCCACAATTCTCTTTCAGTATGAGCTGTCCTGGGGCTTTGCGAAGATTATTTTACAACCCAAGTAACTACTAACTTTCCGTTTTACACCTTTAATAATTGAAAGGGGGGGGATCCGCCCCTCAGAAACCGAATCCACCCGCGCAGCGCGGGTTGGAGAGCGGCCTCCGACGACCGGGTGGGAGTGTCCGAGAAGAAAGGGGCCACCTCTCCTCGGCCGCTCCAGGCGGCGAGCCGGGAGACCGGCCTTCCCGGCGTGCCCCGCGCGCCGTGGGGACTCTTAATGTGAAGCGCCGGGTGACTCAGCCGCGTGGCCGCGCCGGCCAGGGCGAGGGGGGGCGCGCGCCGCTGCGGCACTGCTGGTCCCCGGTCGGCTTCTCGCGGCGCGGTGTGCGCGCGCCTCCCGGGCGGCTTCGGGCCCCGAGCGCGAGAGCGCGGCGGGGAGCGTCAGGTAAGTGGCGGCGCGGCCACCCGGGAGGGCGAGTGTGGCGGCGGGCAGGGCCCGGACTTTGCCTTTGTGGCGGGGGCGGGAGGGGGGTGGCAGCGTCTCCTCAGGCCGCTGCCCGAGCGGACCCCAATTGAAAGGCCGCGGGGACTGACGTTCCCCGCGAGAAAACACGTCCATGGGTGGGTTTCGGGCGCCGGTTTTCGCGCGAGGGTGAAGTCTTACAATCCGGGGAAGGGGGTGGCACCTCCTCTGGAAGTCGCCAGCGCGGCCGTGGGGACAGCTGAAGTGTAACTTGGCTGTTTTCTGCAGGCCTGCGGCGTTTCCGTCCCGCCGGCCGAGGAAGGACGATAAACCCGGAGTGTTTACTGATAACCCGGTGGCAGACGCGGTGTTGGTGGTGGTGTTTTTTGTTGTTTTGTTAGTTTTTCTGGCAGTGAATCCAGCTTGTTAGAAATTAGGTAGTTGGTCGCACTTCTCAAACTCTGAAGCGGGGGGTGCGTTTTGCTCGCTCTCCCCACCCCTGCTTCAGGGTCTTCCTTCTCTGCCACCCGCACATTACAGGCTTTTCGTTGGGAGCAGAGGAGCCGGGCAGGGCATCAGCCGGCGATCTCCTCCCCTACTCTCCGTAGCAGACGGTGACTTCGGGTTTCCGAGCCTCGTTCTGCGCTACCCAGAAAAATACTCCTCTTCTGTTTTGAGCTTTGCGGTTCTTAATCGAACAACTCCTGGGTCGAACCGCTTTCTTTCTAAACGCGCAACCCGTGAACAAACACAAGGGGATAAACAAGCCGTGGAGGAAGTGTCGAACCAGTCCGGGCAAATGCGTTTTCCAGGTCCTTTCGTCGTGCCCCTGTTAGCTGCTGAACGACCAGCTGCAGCTGCGTTCGTGAACCTGGGACGCGGAGGGATTTTTTTTTTTTTTTTTAAATGAACCGCAGAACAAAGTGGTTTAGTCCGAATGTAAGGAATCCAGAGTCCAGAGAACCTCACCCCAGGCCCTCCCCGCCGCACACACCCCCGTCCCCAGTTCTGAGGCAGTAGTTGGCCAGTGTAAGTTGCTCGTTAAAAATGCCAGTACCAATCCAGGAAATTTGGTTCTAGAGACCTCTGATGGGTCCCTGAAACTGCACTGTAAGCGCCCTCCCCGCCTTCTTTGGTGGGTTATACCACACTTTAAGAAAACACCGCTGTAGGGCTGGCCTGAGAATTTTTAGAACTGCTCATCTCTTTTTTCCTCGTGGTTGATTGACTCTCCATTCGCCAGCCAGCCAGTCCTAAGCCATGAAGCTGGCCTCTCCAGAGGGAAACTTAGGAAATGGTAGTGCTTTCTTGGACATCAGGTGGACACCAGGGTGGGAAATGACTTTCATACATATTCTGATCCTGCCTTGGTGGATTAGAGATAGCCGGCGCCTATTAATCTGTGCTTTTTTTCCCTCTGGGGGCCACTTCGAGTATCCTCAGAATTTAAGCAACACCATTTTCCGTCTTACGACTTCCCATCCCCGTCTCAGTTTGACCGTTAGAACCACGGCAGCCAATGCCATGGAATTCCCATGGCTTTGCGTGCTCAGATTTCATGGCACCTGGCAGCACTGGTAGCATTCATGAGGGCTTTCAGTTCAGTTGAACTCTAATTCAGTCATCAGATACCAAGGTAACGCTTGTTTTGTGCAGAGCCCTGGAAGGGGCCGCCTGAGCAACAACATTGCAAAGATGGCACTCAGTTGCATTGCTCCCTTGAGACGGAAATGAGGGCTGAATAATTTGTGCTGCTGAAAGCTTTTTCTGTTTCTTAGATCCTCCTGAGATAGATATGAAGGCGTGAGGTCAGATTTGGATGCTTTGCCTTGTTTCTGTTTTGGGTATCTTTTTTTTTTTTTTTTTTTTGGTCTCCTCTCTTATTATTCTCTTTCTGTTCACACAACGTCAGTATCTTTCCTTCTATAGCCCTGGGCTTCCTGACTATTGTGCCTTCCCTCTCTCTACCCCTGAATCTGACCATGCCCTCCCCTCCTTGGCTAACCGGAGTAAAAAGTTTAGGGATGTTGTTGGAATGCTGAATGACTTCTTGCGGGAAGACCCAGAATCATGGAAATGTGAGGCTTAGAGATATAAGGAAACCTATTACAAATTTATCTAGTGCAGTGCTCTCTTCTTTCAGATAAAGAATCAGAGCGATGAGGTAGTAGAGGTAAGGACCCCTGGCTCCTAGTCAGGTGTTCTTCCCATTACATCATCTCGAGAAAAATGCTTCAGAAATGGAAAAGGTTGAGAGATATTCAGTTATAAGTAGATGAAGAAAATGGAAAGACTTCTACATAACGACAAAAGCTGTATTTTCTGGAAAAATGGAGATTGAACAAGAGAATGTGATCTAACCAAGTAAATCATGAAGAGTGGGAGTACTAAACTAAGGACTCTGAAGCTTGAAATAAGTTTTATTTCAAGTTCAAATAAACTTTCAAGTTCAAATAAAAGCAAACTGTTACCCTGTAATTCCAAGAGACCTTACAAACTTAGTATTTTTTTTTAAATCAGTAAAGGTTAAGTACATTGGAGAATTTTTATTAAATAGTAGATGTTTGAGTAATGTCCAGAATGTTTTGAAGTTGTCATATAACTATACTGTTGTCCTTATCAAAGTTATTAGGTATTCTGTGGGAGACAGAATATAAAACTGATATAATCTGGTTAAATATATTTTCATTATTGGGATAGTATATGCATTTCTGGAACGTAGAAGGAAAGAAGTATGTATGGAAAAAGAGAACTTTTTGATATCTTTGCGTGCAGTCCCCAAGTTAGATATTGTTGGGTTGTCCTTGTATATTCATAAAAGTAGAATTAGAAGGGTAATGCTTAATAATTAGACCCTATTGTGTGCCAGACACTGTACTAAATGCTTTTACATCCATTCTCTTATTATCTCCACTTTATAGCCAAGGAATACAAAGAGCTTAAGTTTGCCCTAAGTACCTAGTAAGTGGCAGAGCCACTGTTCAAACTTAAATCTGCCTGTGTCCAAAGGTATTCAGATTTATGCTCCCTTCCTTGGGTAGTAAAGAATGTGGGCACTGAAGCCAGTCTTTCCGGGGTTCAAATCCTGGTGCCTTTATTTACTAACTTGCATAAAATACTCCTCAGTTTCTATGTCCCTAAAATAGAGATTGTCATAAGTACCTACCTCAGGGTTATTAGGGATGAATTAATTCATGTAAAGAGCTTAGAACTGTGCCTGACACATAGTAAATTCTTAGGAAATGTTGGCTTTGGTTTTTTTTCAAGGTATTCTTTAGATTCAGATTGTCCTTTCTACCGTTAAAATACTCAGGCTTTGTAATTAAGTATGTATGTAAACTTCAGCTCTGTTCTTACTAAAACCAGGGGAATTTTGATGAAATTTTGGAAAATACTGGGTATAAATAGTACAAAGATCTGTGACTAGGACCAGGGGTCCCTGTGACTGGGGTTTGGTTTCTGTGTTTCATAGAGAAGGTTGTAAGGGTCAGATGAAGTAACAAATACAAATAAAATTTAAATTGTATATGATATGCAAATGAGAAATACTGTTATTAAAATTAGGAAAGTTGCGTTAAATTATTGAGAAAATTATTAAAAGAAAGTTTAACTTCCTTAAAACAGCTAGTGATTTATAGCTCTATATGAAGATCGCAGTCTGTACCATAAAATTACAAAAGATTCCTTCCATGTGTTTGTCCTAAATCTCTTTTTTGGTGGTAGAGCATGAAATTGAATTTTTGCAGTTGTTTCTGTAGATTAGTTTGCTAAGACTGCTGTAAAAAGTACCACAGACTGACTTAACCAACAGAAATTGTTTTCCTTACAATTCTGGAGGCTGGAAGTCTGAGATCAAGATGTCGCTAGGATTGGTTTCTTCTGAGGCCTCTCTCCCTCCTTGGCTTGTAAATGGCTGCTGCTCCCTGTGTCTCATGTGGGCTTCCCTGTGTGTGTGTGTCCTTGGCTCCTCTTCTTAAAAGTCATACTGGAATAGGGCCCACCCTAATGACTTGATTACCTCTTTAAAATCCTTCTTTCCAGACACTCTCATTCTGAGGATTTAGGAGTTGGAACTTCAACATCAGAATTTTGAGGGGCAACACATTTTAGCTCATAACAGTCTGTTTAGAGAATTCTATGCCAGGTAATCTCAGTGCTCCATTGCCCTTATTGTTGAGCACCCTTTCCTAGGGGGCTCAAGGAACATCCTTTATCCTGTGCCTGCCTACCTATCCTACCTTCCACCTGTTACTTAGAGAACCGTGCTTGCTGCTGAGTACTCTTATCATGCCTCTGCGTGAAGTCTTTGCATTTGGATTTAAAGCTATCAATTTATTTATTCTGTCATCCTATTGCATAATCTGCTTGAGAAACTATTCCAGTATTTAACCTAATAAATTCCTTATTTGTTTTGTAAGCACATTTCTTCTAAAAATTCCAAAATCTCTTCTGCAGTAATATTTTCTTTTTCTTAAACTGGTTTAAGCTTTAAAAAAAAAAAAGTTCTAACATTTTCTTGAAGAGGTCTCTCTTTTCAGAGAGAACATTTCCCTTTTTCCCATTTTGAAAGTAATAACACTTTTATTTTAGATACTTAGGAGTTTTCAATAAAATACAATTTAAAAAATCTATGATGAGCCTACAATTAAGGGAGAATAATTAATATGTTCAGTCTTTTTTCTATGAGTATATTTATTCCAGCCTGCCTTTTTCAAACCTAATAAATCATATGGTTTACTGCTATTTTAGGTATTAATCTAAAACCTGTTTCTTTTTAGTCTTTTAATGTGGTAAATTAATTAATTTTAGAATGTTAAGCCAACCTTCCTTGTAATATCCCTTGTTATGTATCTGGATCTTATTCTTTAAATAATGTTTAGGATTTTTGTGCTTATGTTTATAAGAGAAAATAACCTCAGAAAATGAATTGAAAAATATTCCTCCTTTTTCTGTTCTCAGTAAGAGTTTGTAGATTAATGTAG